ACACACCTATAGTATTCAAATAATGGAACTTAACAAAAAAAGGGTATACTGATGAACGTCCATTTTGTATCTGTGTATTCAAAATGGTTAGGATAGATATATAGCTACATTCTCTTAATGAATAGAGTTATTTGTTCTAATAGTGTTTGTAAATAGGATATCATGCGCGCATCTTGTTCAGCAAATAACCACTAATAAGAATGTATGCAATGTGTTAATTATTGGAACTGTCCTACCAATTTGGTTTGAAATTGTCTCATTTCTATTTGTCTGTCAATAAAACTATGGGGAAAACAAGAGCAAACTGAAGGATGAGTAATTAAAATTAGGTAGAGAGATCTTCTATAAATGGGAAAAGGACTTAGAGATGAAGGATGAAGGGAGAGAAGCAGCATAGAAGGAAATAAAAATAATTAATGTCATTTGTACATGTACCAGCTCCCCACAAGGAGTACATCTAAGTTATTTATAAGAAAAAAAAAAAACCACAGATATGCCCTGAGGCCATAATGTAAAAAGAAACAAATTCTGTACTGTAAACACATATTCATAAAAATTAAACATCAATATTAAACATTAAAGAGAAATATTGTTTTAATAAGAATATAACTGAATTTATCATAAGAATAGACACAATTGATTGACTTCTGTTTGTAACAATAGCATATAGTAACTTCCTTGTTAGAAAAAAGGGAGGGACAGCCCTTGAGTAAGTTCATGGTTTCAGCGAGGACATTCTTCATTCTTAGTGAATGAGATCTAGCAAAATTCTAGTCCTGGCCCCTTCCTCATCTCTCCTGGGAAAACATACAAACCTACAAATCTGGTTCCATCCCAGAAAATCACTTGCTTAATATATGTAAGAGATGAAAATGGTAGAACTCTGAAATATAGATGTTTGCATGTACACTGTATCACAGATGTATGACTGATGATGGAAACATGATTCACTTTAAATAATAGTTGAATGTTAGGGCCAGCGAGACAGCTCAGTGGACTAAGTGCCTGGTTAGGCAAGTGCAGGGATGGTTCAATCCCTGGTACCATATGCCATGCCAACCCTGCCCCTGGGTGTGCTGAGCCAGCCACTAAGACCAGGTATAGTGGTGCATGTCTGTAATCCCAGCACTGGGGAGGTTGAAAACAGGAGGATCACTATAAGTCTGAGCTCCAGAGTAAGACCCAGTGCGAAATATATAAATAAAATAATAATAATAATAATAATAATAAAAATGTCAATGCATGCAAAAGGCTGAAGTTTTAACAGTTCCATTTTTCTGTTTATAGAGATTAAAACCTAGAAAGATAAATGTATCTGTAGGAAACACAAAGTATGATGAAAATATACAGTGAATGTTTAAATTTAAATAAATATCATATAGTAAGACACACGGCCCCTCAAAACACTGCCCCTCAACTTCAACACACGTATCTCATTGATCTTGCCAATACTGAAGCAGTTCTAGAAGTCACTGTTGGTGTTCTGACAAAGTATAATAAAAAATATGGCGAATGTTGGAGGTGCCATACCACCTTACAGAGGTATAGGTAGGCAAAAACATTATGCTGCCCCCTCAACCACCTTCTTTATCATATGACTTCAGGTCCTTCCTCACAGTCAACATAAGCATAGAAGGTAAAAGTTATTAGTGGAGTCTTCATAGCCACCTGTGCAGCTCATGACGTGAAAGAGGACTTCCACAAGTGGCTCAGAAAGTGGCGAGAACAACGAGGCAAGTGTGTCGGTAGCAAGGGGATTAATGCCATGTCTTTCACTGTGATGATTTTTATGAAACGTAAACATTCACCATATTCCTCATCATACCTTGCACGCTTCATTGTGAAAGGCAGGAGCAGGAAGTGCCAAGACAAAGGAAAGAAAGCATTGGGGGAGTATCGAAAGGAGTCAGGCTTCAAGCAGAATGCCCACGGAAAGCTCCAATGGTGAGGCAGTATTTAACGTAGGCTTTCACAGTGCATAAAATTTTAATAGGTGTTGAAAAAAGGACTGTAAATCAGGCTGAGAAAAAAAACAGGAGAGGGAAGTTGATCCGTTTGGAACAGACACTCGTTATGGAAGTAGGCAAATCAAGTCATCTTGGGGAAAAAAGAAAACCTACAAAGCACAGCATGCAGGCTTTCTCAATGACAGGAAACAAAACCATTCTGTATTTGTAATGGCAAATGTATAGCACTTTTATTACCTATCCCTCCTAAATTACCACAAGATTCCTTCCAGTCGTCATCAAGCACGGTGATGACTTCTAACATATCAGGAAAATGTATAATCCTGTAGACTGCATTACTAACATCATTGGTCACAAGGCTTTAAGGGCATGACTCAGGCAGCTCTGGCATACTCATGCATGGAGTCTCCTGAAAGGATAACTATAACGTTTAAACCAAACCATCAATGTAAAAATTGATGCATGTATTTTCTGGCACACAATAATACTTACTAAATACTTATGGGCTTTGAATCTGAGAAATAATTTTGTTAGCCAGATAATTCAATGGATAGATAGATGCACACATTTTTTCCACAAAGAACATTATTACTTTTATCTTTTTCAATTTCATTTTTATGTAAATAAATCTGTTCAAATTACTCATTAAAAGCTGTTAATAAAAAGGGACAATTACAATGAAATCTGCCAATAATGTATTTCTTTTCAAAAGCACCATGCACTTACTCCCGTTGTGTTATTTGTCCCATTCTGGGTTTCATTCACACGTTGAACTATTCCAGAAATACAGAGAGGTCCAGCAAAACCCAGCAAGTCAGCTAAGTAACGAAATGTGCTGCTCAGTAAAATTGGTCTCCCAAAAGCTCTATACATTGCAAGCCATATAGATGGAGTCCGATTGGGATGATCAGCTACTTTTTTCTGAAAGAAAAACCAGATACACCAAAATAAAACTGACCAAAATAGCAATTAATCTCAGAAAATATGACATTCCTGCTGATAGTTCTGAAGATGTTTTAAAGGCTTAAAAGTAGATGTATAAATTTCAGTATAACATGGATAATTCTCTATCCTCAGATTTATGCAAATAGCTATTGAATGCACTGTAAAAAGTATACAGGCAGGGGCCAGCAAGATAGCTCAGCAGACTAAAGCGCCTGCTTAGGCAAGAGGCAAGCTTAGGCAAACACAGGGACTGTGGTTGGATCCCCAGCACCACTTGCCACACCAGCCTTGCCCCCAGCACGGGCTGAAATGCCCAGAGTCAGAGTCTGGGCGTGGTGGCATAGTCCTACAATCCGAGGGCTGGGAAGGCTGAAAAGAGGAGGATCGCTATGAGTCTAAACTGTGTAGTGAGATCCTGAAACGACCAAATACATTTTTTAAAAAAGTATATGGGATGATGAGAAATTATTAAGGGTAATAATTCATTAACTATCCTTGATCTTGAAGATATATATCATCACAAATACTATCTAACAACACCTTATGTAAGAGAAGACAGTAAAGTACAAGATGGAGATTATAGACTACTAAAAGTATGTGGCGTTCCTAGAACATAAGAAATTTACCTATCACGTTACTATAAGCTAAAACAGAGTGTCTCAATAGCAAATTGTTTCTAGTCTATGTTTTCTCCATCTCCATGAAAGGTGGTCAGTACTTTTAAAAACTTGTTAGACTTTTATTTGCCAAGAATTCCTTTTAAAAAATGTCAAATGGAGGGCCGGGGAGATGGCTCAGTAGAATAAGCACTTGCCTAGCAAGCTCAAGGGCCTGAGTTCAATCCCTGGTTCTTCCCCCACCCCCCAAAAAAAAATGCAAAATGAAGAGTAGCACATAGGATTAATTAGTTCATTACTTTACATCTTTGCTTTCTTGGTAGAAAAGATTTCCAGACATAAACACTCTTCATAAATATGTCTTGGGTGCAAAGTGGTTATAATTCTTTAACTATGGCAAAGTGCCAACTCAGTGGAATGGATTTCAGTTATGTTCCACATTCAATTTCCAATTAGAATGAACAATCTGATTATTTTTCTAAAGTTTATTGATATGACATTAACACAGGAAGCTCAAGCTAGTCTATGTTTTAAAGAACATTCAGAGAATGCAAGCTATTTTTACTCTATATTGTAAATCTTTACTTGAGCAGAGAAGTTTAAAAGTTTTATGCAATACATTTCCCAGGGGTAAAACCAGAGAAATGACTCAGGTTCATTTGCAGTAACCATGTCCTGCAATAATAATTTCATAACACAAATTTCTAAAACAAGAGGTCATTTTCATCATTTACCACAAATGTTTTGTTGATCTTGATTTAGAATAGCCAAAATCCCTTTAACTGATTCACCATACCTTACTCTCTTCCAGTATTATTGTGAGTACCCACATTTTAAGTGACCTTGATATTTCTAGATGATTGCAACATCAAGCATATCCATCATCATGAATAGCTTGCATGACTTCAGAATGATAACTGAAACTACACAAAGACTCTCATCTTTATAATTTCTAAAGCAATTATTAATGGTCAAGGAAAGTATCAGGTGAAACTAATTTTAGAAGACCTACTGGGTAGTACATGGTAGTTAAAGGGAGGTGGTAACTCTTTAACTTAGCTACCCAAGTAACAATTGTGGTTAATGATTAAAGAATTTTAATTTCTTAAAAGTTGTTATTGGTGAATATGATCAATTTTACCTATACATAAAAATTATTTATAAGCTTTTTGAAAAAAAGACAAGATGAATTCCCTGAATTACTAACAGAAGGTGTAATATGGGTCAACTGTATAGGATCATTGGCCTTTGTTTTCAGTTTCCACTTGGTCACTTGTCCCAGAAATGAGACTCTGTGCCCATCCACCCCCTTACATGGTGAATGGACATCTGGAGCAGGTGACTGCTCTTCATTGTCCTTTCCAGTCTATCCTCAGTGATCAGGTGGCACGATGGAAAACTACCAGCTAATACAGACAGAGAAAAGTTGCTCTTCTATTATCATGCATATTATTTAAGTTGTGTGCTGTTACACTTCAATAAGACCATTGTCTGCAAATGTAGGCATGGGAGACAGATGCTAAATTACCTTTTGTTCTTCATAGGCATCTTTGAGGCACACATAGTTTGTCACTGCCCTCATTGCTATGGGCAATTTTCCAATTGCCTTCAGATCAATAGGCTTCCTATGAGCAGAAATGATAAGTGTGTTCATCCACCAGTAGGTTGCTTTTGACAGTAAATTCACAAATGGTTGCAGGAATCTCACACCCAGGTCCTGGAGGTCTTCAGGAGGCTTTACTTTCTGAGGATTCATAAAGAATACATATCTCTGTGGCATAAAAGAATACCACAGTGCTACAATTAGTCCAATTCTTCCTCCACATATTAAAAATATAATTCCACCCTTTTTTATAGTTTCAGGTCAGGTGGCCAATATTTCTATTATTTAATGCTTCCTTCTAAACCTTTTCTGAAATACTCTTTGAAATATTTCCCTTTTGTTAGATTAACTAAATGGCAAAACTATACGTTGAAACACTTTGGGGCCAATTGAAAAAAAAAAAAAAAAAACAATTCACTTTTTAAAAGAACATGTTTTTCATTATGTAATAAAGTCACCAATGAAGACTTTTATATTATTAAGATTTCAAAACGTGTTATCAACACCATCACTGAGTCACTGTTGATTTATATGTAGTTTGACTAATGTTCACTGATTGTTCACCACATTCGTTGTACTATGGCATCTTTCCACTCTTGGAACAAATTAAAGTTCTCTGGTAGAAAGTGAATGCTGAGGGCCAGTGAGATAGCTCAGCGGACTACAGCGCCTGCTTAGGCAAGCTTAGGTAAGCACAGGGACCCAGTTCAACCCCTGGCATCACATTCTTCCTGGTCCTGCACCCCCCCCAGGCACTCTGAGTTGTCCACCAACACCCAGTGTGGTGGCGCACGCCTGTAATCCCAGCACTGAGGAGGCTTAAAGCAAGAGGATCTCCATGAGCATGAACAGCATAGCAAGACCCTGCAACAACCAAATACATAAAAAAGGAAAATGAACACTGAAAAGAGTGAATAGTATCTTACATACCTGACAGCACTATGAGGTGCAAAGTATAACAGAATTATAACTATAGGCAAAAACATGAGTCTTGTGAATATTATAATTGGTTCATCACCTTAAACGTTAATAATGTTCGGCTGACTGCAATCTTTGCTGCGCAGGTCTTGCCTAGCAGCATCTCCTACTGCTACTTACTCTGACCCGAATGACATTGATCTCCACAGCCATGAGGAGCCCATTCAAGATCACCATCATGCCTGTGATGCAGAAACGCAGGTCGGACATGCCCCATCCCAACTGCCAGTATTTGACCAGTTTTATGGTTTTTGTTATAAAAGCCATTACCCAATACAGGAATAAAGCTGCAAAAACAGAAGAAAAAAGCAAAAGATGCACTCTTTCCCTGATATTCTTTAAAACGTCACTAATATTTCAATATAAATACAATGCTTTTTAGTAATGAAGGCAAATCAAATATTCTGTGCATAAATGTACTGAAACATAAACAAAACATATGGCTTAGCATGCTGCTCGAGGTTTGAGCTAAATGTAATGAGATGGGATAAGAGATAAGGGTGAAGTTTAAAAGTTTTGCATGTGAATTTCCAGTTTTTTCAAGGGCCATCTATTGAAGGGGCTGTTCTCTCTCCAACGGATGCTTTTGATGCCTCTGTCATGAGTTAGTTGCTTTAAATGCATGGAGTAATTTCTGGCCTCACTCTTCAGTAGCAGCAGCGTGTGTCTGTTTTAAGGCCAGGACCATGCAGTGCTGAGCACTACAGCTCTATAGCTGTGTACGTATAAGTCAGCTGATGTAATGCTCCTCACTTTGTTCCTTCTACTCAAGACCATGTTTGGTTTACAGCACCTTTTTGCACTTCTGTATGAATTCTAGATAATTCTGTGAGGAATGCCACTACTATTTTGATGAGTACTTCAAAGACTCAATTCATCACACTGGGTATTATGGACATTGCAGTGGTATGACTTGTTCCAATCCATGAAGGCATGCAAATAACTTTCAAATGTCGAATGCCTCCACTCGGGTCCTATGTGATACCTGGGAAGTTATAAAGAGTCATGTAAAAGGTATTATCTTCACTCTTCAGAATTGATGTGAAACCTTGTAGATTCAAGTGGCTTGATCTCTGGGCTTGTTCTTTAACAGCCCCATTTATGCAAAGAACTCACAAATTGGTGTCTGCATAATTTATCCAACAGATAAGCACATTGTAATTCCCTTGAGTCTGTCGGACACTATGTCTCTGGAATTATGGTGGAATTAATGTGTCTGTGAAACAAGTTTCTGCATTATAGATAGGTATTCACATGATAAGTGACTCTTTACACCCAAATAATTGCATGACTCACGCTCATCTGCCAGCACAGAAAAGAACAATAATTCTACCAAACACATCCAGACCTGAAACAGTGGATCCAGAAAGGCAGAAATCTACAGCATCTCACCACTGCACCCCAGCAACTTACAAGCGTGCGTCAGAAGTAGACACATTACAATAAATTGGTTGACATGGATTTTGCCTACTTTGAACTTTAAATAAAAATCCATGCAAATGAATATGGGAGAAGGAAGAATACTAAAATACTAACTAACAAGACAATCCATTCTGGGCAGTACTTATCAAAGTCAGAAAGGTTAAGGGTGGTCACGACTTCCTTGATGAAAAATAATGGAACATTATTTTATGTAGCATTATTATGTAGCATATGAAGTTACATAAATCACATTTTAGCTTAAAATGCAGAAATGATCAGAATAGACTTAGTAACAATAGACCAAATGATTTGCTACCTAAAGAGATTGACTTTAAATATTAAAAACAGAGGGCTGAGAATAAGTAATAAAGAATAATTTTAAATGAAAACAATAAGCATAAGAAGCCTGGAGCATAAGAATTCTGGTATATTAGTATCAACCTAAGTAGATTGCAATATTACCAGAAATAAAAGAAATGCCTTTAATAATGATAAAGGGATTTATTTCTTCAGAATGACACAACAATCAAAACTATACACCTGCCTAATGAAGACTTAGACACATTTATTGGATGACTAAATAATTATTATGGTCATGTTTCCTGTGTTTCCCACTACCAACACCTATGGATGGTGCTTTGCTATGTGGAAAAAGAAAAACAATAGCTCCTTTGAAAAGGTTAAAAAAAAAACTTTACCATACTTACCTAAAAGTAATTTAGGGAAATTTGATGTTTCAATGTTATGATAATATACTATGGATGTCGTGGTGGCAACGAATCCCATCACAGCCGGCATGAAGAGGTGTAGATGCCTGGACTCCCGCTGTCTACAGAGAGTAGTACAGTTGTCAAGGTCTTGAATGGATGGTTCCATCAAGTGTTCATTTTGTTCCCAATTTTTTTAATTAAAGTTCACTTTTTCCCCCATTTATGTATTTGGGTCTCACTATGCAGCTCGGACTCGTAGTGATCCTCCTGTTTTCAGCCTCCCCTGCTCAGGGATTAGAGGCATGCACCACCATGTCCCATCGTGGTGGCTGGCTCAGCGAGCCCAGCACAGTTGGAGGAGGTGGCATGGCATGCAGGGCCGGGGATCAAACCTGGTCTCTGCACTTGCCAAAGCAGGTGCTTAGTCCTGCTGAGCTATAAAGCTCACTTTTAATTGTGTTTCAGACCAAGAATGCAGTTGTAGTTGGTAAGAGAACATGTAAGACTATCTTATGAGACATGATTCTGCTGAAAGAATTCCTCCTACTAAGAGCTGCAGAAAAACACACCAAGCAATATTTTAAAATGCTTACAAACCAAATAAATATATGAATACTGTTGTTTAGAGAAACAGAATGATTGCAATTTTTTTTTGTATCAGATATTGAACTCAGGGCCTTATGCTTGCAAGACAGGCACTGTGCCTCTGAGTTATATCCCTGGCATGATGTAAAGATTACAGCAAGTAAAAAAAGCCAAGTTAATCTAAACTCTAAAGTATGTGAAAATTATTTTTAGCACTTTGATAGCTTCCCTAAATTTCACAGTCTTCAGTGAGTCCTCCATTCTTATTAGCTCATTCCATGCATGTGTGTTTGCTGGTCTAGCCACTGTTAGGTTCTGGGAAGCAACAATAAACAAGATGAGATATCACCATCTATGATCATAAAGCTGAGGAGATTTGGGGGGTTCTGGTAGCAAATAGGAGCCAGATGTAGTGGCACAGAACTGTAACCCCAACTACTTAGGAGACTCAGGCAGGAGGACCTCACATTGGAGTCCAGTCTGGGTCACTTAGCAAAAACTTGCCTCAAAATATAAAAAGGGCTGAGGCTGTAGTTCCATTATATAATATCCTTAGGTTCTGTATTGGAAATATAAGTAGCAAATAGGAAATTACAATTGGGTGACGGGACCAAGACCATACAAGGTGGGAGCCAAGGACAGAGCAAGATTTGTGGAGGAAGTAGCTTGTAAACTGAGACATTAAGAATGAGGGGTATCCAGTAGAGCAAGAGAGAAAGACTGCTTCAGGCAGAAGGTCCAGGTGTGATCTAGGGTAATGTGAGCTATTCAGTATATCATAGCTCCAAGAAATGGGGACTTCATTCTAAGGGCGAGACAGACCTCCAGGCAGACGGAAGATGGAATAGGGCCGGACGTGCCTTGTACACAGTTCTTACCTGCACTCCACCTGCATCAGCAGTGCCATGGAGCAGAACACTTGACTCTTCTCAAATCACTTAAATATGTTAGCTAAGCAATGATGCAAAGAACTGGGTAACTAGTGCAAGACTGAGGGGCGAGGAAATCAGTTGAAAGAGGTGTGATGGACAGTGGGGACTAAAACACAAAATGAAATGCCCTAGTCAGGAAGACAGTGGAAAGGCATTCTTCAAAGAGGAAATAGAATGTGTAAATATATGGAACCATGAAGAAGCATTTAATGTCCCAAATGATTTAATATTCTTGGAAGAGAACATCTGAGATTAGATGTATCATGAGGGGCTGATATCTGTGGGAAGGGGCTGGAAACATCTGCAGAGAACTGCATCCCTTTCATAGCTAAGTAGTATGGCCAGATCTGTGCTTTAAGCCGTTCATTCTGAACTAAGGCACACGATGGAGCTGACAATACGTGGGTAGTGATGGGGAAAAATTAAGCGGACAAAAGAGGAGCAGCTAAGAAAGCACAGGTATAGGTCAGGCAACTCAATAAAGGACTCAATCAAGCTGTGATAGCAGTACTGTGGAGGAAATAATGTATATAGCCAAGGTCAACTGCTACAGTGGACAGGATTTCAAGAGTGTCAGTGTAGGAGGGCGAAGGTGATGGAAAGACAGAAAATAAAACAAGGGTATTTGAGTGGAAGATTGTGTAACCAGGTCAGATTTCTCTCTCTTTTTTTTTTTAAATGTGTGTGTGTGTGTGTGTGTGTGTGTGTGTGTGTGTGTGTGTGGCCGGCTCAGCCCACCAGGGGGCGGGGCTGGTTGGCATGTGGTGCTGGGGGATTGAACCGGGGTCCCTGTGCCTTGCTAAGCTTGTTCTAAGTAGGTGCTCCAGACCACTGAACCATCTCACCAGCCCCACCAGGTCAGATTTCGAGAGGATAAGCAGCCTGGAGGAAGAGGCTACTTTCAGCTAGGTTGTCTACATTGTGAAGATGTCTACTAATCATATAAAGGAAATCACCTGTGTTAGTAAAACAAAATCAAAGTTTCAACTTAAAAAGGCTTTGCTGTGCTTTCCTAACTATAGGAAGCATTTTTCAGAGGAGTATTTTAAGTAAAAAGTAGTTTAGAAACACTTTGTTTAAAAAAAGACAGAAGAGAGACATAAATAGCAGTGTCAGAGATAACAATCATGATGAGGACTAAAAGGATCTTTAGGGCGTTATATACACATATTCTTGGCTTTTCACACAAGGGAGGGAGGACGGGGAACAAAAGCATACAATTCAAGTTTGAGTTTAGCAGCCACTAAGAGATGATTTTTGAGAAGCGGGGATAAAAGGGCAAAGGGAAGAGCCACACAGCTGAAGAGCAGGAGGGAATAACACAGGCTCAAGCTTATATTATCGCCTAAATGTTTTTGCGACAGGCTTCTTGTATCACTACCCCTAACAGCAAGCTTTTGCCCTCAGCATAGTTCATAATCATTACCAGTTCAGCCAAATAATGTTTTCTGTCTCTGAATCTACGTAATGTCAAGGTTTTAGGAAATATTGCATCGATCTGCTCACATAATCACAGAAGCATATCGAAGTTTGTTAAGGAGCTGAAAAATGAAGACTATAATTTGCTCTTTAATACAATACACTAAAGGGCACTGATCAGCCTACAATTAGATAACAGCCGATTAAGCCTCTAAATGTTTTGAGTGATGGCATATGCCAGAATCTCTGGTTTGTCTTTTTATCAGAAATGAAGACACGCACATATCCGCAAAGAACTGCCACAATAAATTACAGAATAGTTGGCTCCATGACAGCTTAGAACTTTCATTCCTTGTTAATTGCAACAGAAAAACATTAACAGATGTCAGGGGCGGCTCTATGAGATAAGATAAGAAGTGATTTTTTGGAGCCTTCTTTCTAAAAACTTTAAAGGCCCTCTCACATCAGTTCTTCAGAAAATACCCTTCAGCGTGATTTCATAATCAAATTTTTCCTGCTACTTGAATGCGTTTTCTTTTACTGTATGAGAAAAATACTTTCTCTCGCTTATACCCAATTTTATGGGTATGTTTGATTATATTCTAACTACCCAACACAAATGTTTTTATAAGTAGGACAAAATTCCTTTGATAGTATTTTTGTTTTGTTTTGTTTTGCGGAACCAGGGATTGAACTCAGGCCCTTGCGCTTGCCAGGGAAGCACTTATTCTTCTGGGCTATCTCCCCAGCCCTGTTTCAACAAATTCTGATTTTAAAGTAATTTCATGCTTTGCTCATTTTCAGGCTTTAGTATCTGCCACATCTATCTTTGCTTCTTTGCAAACTAAACTGAAACTTAGGAGAACTGATTTACATATAAATATGAGTTGTACATCAACATAGACACACTTGCCATCTGTACCTTTTTTTTTTTTTTTTTTTTGTATTTTAGGACAGCGTCTACAGGGTCTCACTACATAGATCGGACTCCTAGTGATTCCCCCGTGTTCAGCCTCCCAAGAGCTGGGATTACAGGCGTGTGCCACCACGCCCAGTCTCCATCACCATCACAGCGTGCCCCGGGGGTGGGGCTGGCACTGCAGGCCAGGATCAAATGCAGGCGCTTTAATCCGCTGAGCTATTTGGCTGAGCCTTTGCCATTTTTAAACTAAAATCAAAATGCTCTAAGTACAGAACCTGCAAGGGTGAACTGGATGAGGGAACAGAGGAATATATAGTAGCTGAGTGGATATAAGCCATATCGGTATGAACTTGTTTTATCAGAGAAATTATATGGGAACACACAATAAACATAATTATCATATAAAATGAGTGACACTTAATCTTTTTTTTTTAATTTGTGTGTGTGTGTGTGTGTGTGTGTGGCTAGCTCAGCCCACCAGGGGGCGGGGCTGGCAGGCATGTGGTGCTGGGGGATTGAACCATGGTCCCTGTGCTTTGCTAAGCTTGTTCTAAGTAGGTGCTTTAGACCACTGAGCCATCTCACCAGCCCCAACACTGTTATTCTTAATCAGCTATTCCTCAACAGTTAAGCCTCAATTGGCATACTCTTAGCTTCTATCCATATAAATATACCCACTCCTGTACAGTAGAGATATTACATAGACCAAATTACTTACGAATCTGAGACAATTCCTTCTGCTATTTCACAAACATGCACAAATAGGAGGGCAAAGGTAAGAATCCATCTCAGGTTATGTCCAGGAAAATGAAGCCAGGTATTGTGATGAATTTGCACTTTTGAGCTTTGGCTTCCCCACCCTGGGGAGGGAAATGAGAAAAAAAAATGTAAGAAACACATTAAACAAAGGGATCAATTTTGGGAGGCTGGTGAGATAGCTCAGCAGACTAAAGCACCTGCTTAGGCAAGCACAGAGAAAGGTTCAATCCCCAGCACCCACATGCCATGCCAGCCCTGCCCCCAGGGAAGGCTGAGCCCAACAGAGTCCAGGCATGGGGGTGCATGCCTATAATCCCAGCGCTGGGGAGGCTGAAAACAAGAGAATCACTATGAGTCTGTCCGAGATGCATAGTGAGATCCTGCAACAACCAAATACATTTAAAAGAAAAAAGGATCAATTTTAAACATGGATATGATTTATAGTATTATAAATTTAAAGCAGGGTCCTGAAACCTGAGTGATTTTAGGATGGTAGTAGAGAGTCTATTCTATTTGCAATATGCTAAAAAGTAACAGTTTCAATTAGCTTTTATATGACTGCCTGGGCCAGCACATTGGCATTTGTTGCATCATTCAGCAGTGAGGACAGGGCTCTATCACACATTAGTCAGAAGCTCCTAGTGACAGCTTTCTGATTCATTCAAGAGAAAACAAATTAATAGTTATAATAACAAAAGAAATTTGATGTATAATTTTGGAGATGTGGGATCTGTAGGAGGACTAATAACATACAGTCTTGGGTGATGAAATACAGGCCTCATCAGGCGGGTCAATCTGAATTCCATTCATATCTTATAAGAAAAATAATTACCAGTGACTGGCTAGCACTATTCGACACGTATACTGGCTCTTTCTCAAAGAAAGCTAATGCTTTATTTATTAAAGGTCTTTTAAGCAAATTCAACAATATAGTTTTGTCCTTAACTCTAAAAAAATTTATGATTGCATTTTAGTAAAAGTTTGATGGTTTATTCCCAAAAGTGTAGGTAGAATAACACCACTTCATTTGTGGTATACTAGGAAGGAATCCCTCTTTTATCTTTTTTGTTGGTTTGTTTGTTTTGCATTTTATCATGCTAGAAAAATCCTACAGGCTTCAAGAATGAATGATGGAGATTTGTGCTTCAAATATTGCAGGAAAGAGTTCCAGTGTAGGCAAGGGGGATTCCTGAACATTCTATTTTTGTGTAATTTTAGTACAGGGTCTACAGGATCTACAGGTTCTCACTACACAGATTGGATTTGTAGTGACTATCCTGTTTTCAGCCTCCCAAGCACTGGGATTACAGGCATGCAACACCACGCCCAGTCTCAAACGCCCTTTCAGGGGACCCCGGGGTTGGGGCCAGTATGCAAGACTGGGAATCAAACCCCAGCCACTGCACTCTGCCTAAGCAGGCGCTTTAATCCACTGAGCTATCTGGCCAGCCCTTTCGACATTCTTTGAAAAGAAAAGTGATTCCTGTCTTAGCTGTTTCCACATGTACTTAATCATTGTAAGGTTAGTTAATATATTCTGCTAGAATTTATGCCGTAAACCCCTGTAGGCAAGTTCTGTGGGTTTTTTGTTTTGTTTTGTTTTTTGCAATACTGTTGGTTTCCTACTACCTGATACTTCTTTGAGATTTATGTATAACTCCTGCAACTCAAGTAGCCCATACCTTAAATGACTGCATCTTTTGGTATGTTCCATGGCCAATGTTCACTCCAATTGCTCTCTATTCAAATATTTTCATTGCCAGCCTCTGTGTTGGAATAAAAAGAATGCCACAGTCCTGGCTCTCGAGGAGTTAATAAAATATTTGAAAGTGAATTGTTAATTGTAGAATTCCCATCAATGTGAATAAAATCCTCATTTTCACCTTTGGGTTTTATAAAATAATTTCTTCATGCCTTATAGATGCTACTATATAAATAATGACTAGTGTTTTCACCAGCTGGCACTGTGGTCCCAATGTATGTATTGCCTACATATTTGTTCAGCATAAATAACAATGTACCAAGAGTTATGCTGACCTCCGGGTATGCCATATAACAAAAACCCTTTGGTCTGTGTTAGAATATCAAGCACACTACCCTCTCAATTGGTTGTTAAGTGATTGTTCAGTGACAGCAGTGTATTTAAAGAAAGTTAGTCCAATAACACTTCTGCTTTTTGTCATGAGCAAAATCAGTCACGGGAACATTGAACACAAAATAATTCAAAATAGCGGTTACTTCTTGTGACAAGGTAAGAACAGGAGATGTGGGAAGAAATCAGAACCAGAAAATATTACACAGAGAAGCTCCTTTTATTCTATTATATTCCTTCAGATGAGTGGCGGTAGGTTCAGTGGGGTGTTTATTATGGTTCATTTGAATCATTTTTCTCTAGCAAAAATGTTTCACTACTTTTAAAAAGTTAAAAAGTCTGTTTTGATTGTTTGAAATTCCACAAATTATGCTTAATTACCCTAAATAATTAGATTGTGTGCATCTGTAAATGGCTAAATAATGGTAGAAACTGTTTCTAATTCCTTTCCAAATGGTTTTCACATGTATCCTTCCTACCTAACACACAACGCATCACTCCTGCTTTCACTTTTCACTTGGGGTTCTATTCCCAGACAGAATGTCACCCCATTCAGTCCTTCTCACCAGCCTCAAGAAGAGTTAGCTGCTTCTTTGGATTGATGCCTAGGATAATCGGTGGCTGCACCTGAGAATGAGCTGACAGTAGGGTAGACCTGTTTCTCTTGACAGAGCTGCTTCTCTAGACTACCCTCAGACAAGGACGGGACTTGGTTTACCCAGTTTCCATTCCTTTCTCCTAGCATGAGGTAAGTGTGCAATGAACTCTGTAGCTCTATCTCATAGAACTACTCCCTTCTCTCTTAAAAAAAAAACCAAACTACCACTGCTCAGCCTAAGAAAGTTCATGTGCTAAAAATATATCATTGAAATGGGGCGCACAAAATACATGTTCACGCTTTTCTCATTGACATACACATTAGCTTTTATGCTGGAGAAACTAGTGCAGTATTATTCCAAATTTCAGCCATTAACAAGATATAGAATAGTGAAGTAATACAGTGTGTTAAATTACTTACCAATAAACAATATTGGGAAAGTGATAAACAAGAGGAAGACATGAGGGACCAAGTTGAGGGCATCTACAAAGCAGGGGTTTTGTAATACACCGTTGTAGATATTATATGAAGTGATGTTGTTGCCACAAAATGAGAGGCTCATTTTTTCTTCTCTGATTTATTCTAAGAGAGAAAAAGGGAAAAAATGGTTCTTACTTTTACATACTGTTTCATAAAATTATGGCTTTAAATGGTGAATTATGCCGTAAAACTAATCCTTTCTCCTTTATAGTTAAGAAAAAAAAAACTATGCCACCCTAACTTAAAGGTTTCTTATAAAGACCTTATTCCTTCTAGAAGGTCCCCTTTTATGTAGCCTTTACAAAAACACATATTTTAATTCACAAATTATATTACAGTATATACTGAAGTAGCCTCTCAACCTGACTAAAACGATATCAAAGATTGATGTCAAACAAATGGCGACATATCAAAGAGATATCTGAACAAAAATGGTGACATTCCAGAAAAGAAAGTGTAATAACAAAGCCAATGACTGACAGGTCAAAACAGTACGATATAACACCACTATTCATTGTCCTTCATTGAAAATAATGCAACTAAACAACTTTAGCTGAATAAAACCTACTGAAAAAATTGCAGAAATAGCAAGTTCTAGAAATTTCTAGAAAGAGAGACCAATCCAGCTGTAAATCAGCTTTTCTCTGAGGAATATTAACCACTAGTGCTTCTGACAAATTAAGAGAAACTCAAGTGCCAAATTAATTAACCCACTATGGTCTCAGCATCAGAAATACTTTTAAATACAAGGCATTCCGCTGCCTTTAGAAAACAAAGGATGACTTGAAGTTGGAAATCTGTGTTCCATTAGAGGAGAAGTAGATAGGGTTAGGACAGCAAATGAAGGATAACAGCACACGGGACTTGTTGTAGGTCATTCTCAGGACCTTGGCTCTAAACAGACTGAAGTCACTGGAGTGGGGTGGCATCTGTGAGCCCACGAATGATATGCTTTTATTCAGATGGACCCCCTTCCTGTCTGTGTTCAAAGAGATGATAGAAGATCATGGGTCCATCCTATCAAACACTGCTGTGAGATTCCAGCAAATTTCAGCACTTTGACAACCTCTTTTATAATCCTTACTACCCATCTAGCAGCTATAAAATTGTGGGCACTTTGAATCTATTTTCTTACATCTTCAGAACAGCCTTGGAAGGACGGTAGTTACTGCAGCTTGGAGGAGAGGATACTGAGGTTCATATAACAGATTCAGGAACTTGCCAGCCAGCATAGAATCCAGGATCCACACCCACATGCCTGATGTATAAATTATGTTCTTTCCACTACATCATGCAACTCCAGCTTGATATTTTTTAAGAAATGATCTTATCTGTTCTTATTAAAACAAGTAGCAGTTTAAGATTTGAATGTCACTGGCCTTTTCTTTCTCCATATTTATAGCACACTGGATTCTGAACTAGATTTTTAACAGCTGGCTAAAATTTTCTTTACTAATATAATACCTTTCTTTCTTTCTTTTTTTCTTTCATTTCATTGATAATTGATTTGTCAATGACCATGAGCAGTACATTTCTTAGGAAAAAAACAAGATATATTACACAGAAAACAGTGGTAAAAATAGATGATTGGGGAAGTCAAAATGCAATCAAAATTCCTGTAAAGCAGTACAGAAGTACACTAACTAAAAGTCACTGCTTTTACAACCTAAAATGCTTTTACATAATTGCACAGACACATTATTTTTGACAAACCTTTTTTAAATACATTATTGATACAGTCTGCAGTTGAGGCATCTTCTGATCTTTAAAGAAGTTATATTTTTAAAAAAACTCAAGATGCAGTTATTTGTGCAGTAAATCACTGCCAACTATTAAGCTTCTAAGTGGAGTTAAAAGATTTAAAGGCACTTGAGATTTTTAAATAACGGGAAAATGTAAGCTGTTAATTCCTATGTGCATGTTTGGTCCAGGTATTTCTGGTAAAGGTAGAAAACATCAGAAACTAAAAAGTAACCTCTAGTAATTAAATTTTAACACTAGTTCAAATGATAAAAGGAAATGTAAGCCCACACTTGAGAGAGATTTGAAATAACTTCCTTTGCCATAATCTCTAACTCCAAATCCCCCCTTCCCTGGTGCCAGTTTTTGACTGCCTCTTACTACAGCTTTTGTTGTTGTTGTTGTTGTTTTCATCCCTCCACACTCCCCTTGGCTCTTCACCTCCTTATCCAGAGTCCTCCATGCCTGGAGCACATTCTAACAGTCCACCCACATGCAGCTCAACATGGACAAAAACAGAGTCAACTGATAGCAGGTCACATTGGTAGCCGTCAAAGACATTGCATTCAACTAGGGTTTCTAATTTAAATTTCACAGGGTAGGAATCCTTCAGGAAGGCAAAAACCACTGCTGTTTCGGGTGGGATTCTGTCCAGGACTGCCCCTGCTGAACCCATCTAAACCCACAGGCCCCAAGCATTAGGGAGGGAGAAGAAAGAGGTGTCAGGGAAACACAGCATTTCACCCCCACAAGCATGATGGTCAAGTGTACAGGACAAAGGATAGGGTCAGAGAACTGGATGGGATAAATTCTAAAGAAAAATATTGAAAGTGAAACTTGGATGAAAGATGTGGTGTGTTGAATAGAAAATGTAAAAAATATATATCTTGATGATTCAACTTAGGAGTTAAAGGCAAGCATTGTAACATTGGTTACCATTGATCCCTTGAAACCCATTCTATGACATTCCATATCCCCTAGGACTTAAAACTTTGCATTTAGTTCATGAATATAACAATTGACCCATCAGCTCTGTTAGTTCTAAGAGAACAGTTATCTGATTTAATTCTAAAAACTGCTAAAAGTATTCAAGCATATCAGGTACACCATTTATTTTTTGCCAGACCCATCCGTGGAAACTAGACTCTAAGTAGAAGCTAACACCTTTTCCTGTTCACCTAACACAAACACGTCAGCAGTGACAGAACAGTAATTCCAGATAACTACAAATGCTAGAAGCACCTGAAAAACAAAAAGGCATATTAAACTCCATAGGAACGTCTGGGTTCTTACACGTCAAACAATTCATTTTTTTAGTTCTTCAGAAATTAACCAAATTATGGGTGAAACATGACGTAAAAGAATGTTAGAGATTTTCAAGGTAAAGATCAAATAAATGCTGCAGTAAATTCTTTGAAATTATGCCTTGGATGTTTCCTAAAACAAGAACCAAATGTTTATCTACCTAGCTCTCTAGTTATCTGGGCATCTATCTGCCTACCTCGCTCTGGCAAACAAAGATCGAATTCGCTAGCAAAAAGGACCGCTGACTTTTGATTTACTGCCGGGTCTGCATCCACCCTTTTATTCTTCCAGGGTCGAACCGCTCTCCCGCATATCACAAGAAACATTAGAACCACTGGGCAGAAAAGATTTCTTAGACGACACAATGACAATCACACCAATAAAGCAAACATCAGCCAATAAATACCTTGGGCTTGGCGATGCTTCAAACCCCTGCGGGCACACTCCTCCTACCTTCGAAACACCGCGTCTCTACTCTGTCTTAAGATGTAACTTTCAAGCCAGGACACATAACTCCTAAAAAGCAAAGAGCAACAAACAGTAAGCAGGCAGACAGCTGCTTCGTGAGCAACACAGGAAATGTCTCAGAGGAAAAGAAAATTAGTAACACCTTTTCCCGTTTCCCGTTAGTTTAAGCAGGAGCCGGCAGAGAAAGTTTTTCGCAAGCAAAGCTGGAAACCTGATCCCAGCCCCCCTCTCTTCTCCAGCGGGGCCCTTGGGCTCCGTCCTAGAGGGGCCGAGTAGGAGCGCGCGGGCGCCCTAAGGCTCCCGAAATATTAGATCCAAACCAACAGTTCGCTGTTTTTCTTATTTTTTTTCTTTTTAATGATAGTTATGCAAAAGTCACGGACTCACTCACTCGCTGGGATAAGAGTTTTCTCCCCCTAGGCGAAGCACGCCGAGTGCGGCCGGAGCGGATTATTTTTAGGCTGGTGGAAGATCAGCTGCTGCCTCCTATCGAGTTTCTAAATCGCACAAACTGCTCGGGGCCCGGCCCGGCCGGGGCGGACACCGCCGGGACTACGAGGCAGGAATCTGGGCAGAAGCCGGGCCGGACCGGGCCGGGACCCGAGCCCCCCACCCCCACCCCCCTCGGGCGGGGGGCGCACTGGGCCCGCGGCGGGGGCACCTCGCCCACCCGAGCCACCTGCGTGCCTGCTCGGCTTCGGAGGCCGAGCGAGTGCGGTGCGCTCCGCGGAGCCCTGGAGCGCGCGGGGTGCCGCCGCCTTCCCGGACCCCGACCCCAGCGCTGCGGGCGGGTTTGGGGGTCCAACCTCTGGCGCCGCGGAGCCGGGCGTGCTGGGCGCATTCTCAGGAGCCCGCTGGCGGCCGGCCGGGGCGCGAGAGTTTCCCGTGACCGAGCCAGCCCGGTGGCCCCTCCTGAGCAGGCAGGCGCCCTGCTCCCCACGCTTGCCTCGAGCTCCCCGCAAATCAGTTTGGTGTCCAGGACCGCAGAGGCTGCGGCCTCCCACGCCCTTTTCTCTTGCTGCCAACCCCGGACGTGAGTAGCTCAGAGATAACCTGTTTCAGGGACCGTCACTTCGCAACAACAGCCCCCCGGACGAGCGCCCGACCCCATCTCCTTTCTTCAGCTGCCTTAGCGATCTGATAAAGAGCGGCCGCAGCGGGATGTGGCCCTGAGGTTCCCCGCTGCCCTCGGGGTCACTGGACAGGGACTCGGACATGGAAGGCCCAAGTACTGCACGCGGGCTGCTTGCTGCGACTCTAGCACAGGGACAACGAGCACAGGTCAAGCACCGGGTCCCGCCTGTACTCCCAGCACTCAGGGAGGCTGAGGCAGGAGGGTCCCAATTTCAGGCCAGCTTGGGTAATTTACTGATTTAGCGAGGAGGGGGTTAGAGGGTCTGGGATGGTAGCTCAGTGACTAGAGGTGGGGGAAGAGTCTCAGCACCTTGGATGAACTCCCAGAAGAGCCATGAACTAATCAGGAGGAGCAGAGCCACCAGCAGTTGCAGAGAAGGTTCTGGAAATTAGAGATGCAGACAATCCTGAAACACAAGATTCGAGTGTGACTATGCAAAGGAAGTTGAAATTTTTTTAAACATCTCACCATTGTTGAGGTTATTTGTAATAAGAAGAAGGTACAGTGCGCTTATCGTACAAACGTCGGGACATAGGAACATAAGGGAAAACAATGCGCCACTCCCACCCCAAACCCATAAACCTACTGAAAACATCGCGTTACATTTCAACAAACACAGACACTGTAATACAGTAACTAAGAAGCAGGTGGGTGAGGGGCTAGGCAGCCAGATCTCAGAACCTCAGGACTCTGGACGATGGGTGACTCAGTTGCCTCTTTTCTTCAAAGGGACCAGGAGAGGTACTTGTGTCATGGGTTGGCTGGAGGACAGAAGAGACAGTTCTTGCCCTTCCAATAAGCATGAACGAATATGTTGTCACTTGGAATTTATTCTTTGCATTTTGTTAGTAAAGTTTGTGTCCTCCCAATATCTTTTAAACTAATTCTTTTCCAGGGGTATTTAAAAATCTCTTTAAACACGGCTGTGTACTATTCCATCCGGTGGTCATCTCACCATTTAAAATCCATTTCCTATTGTTGGGCATGGGGTTCCAAATTTCTACCAATATTTGTCATCTTATGATGAACATTTTTGTCACGATAAATTTTGAAATTAAAGAATTTTAATTCTTTCTAATGGGCGATCTATTTAAGATACAATTTCATAAAAGTAAAAAAGTGGCATAAGGTATAGATATACAATGCCAAATCATTTTTATAAACTGTTCAACTAAATTCAAAACAATATATTAATTTCTTCCAACTGTGAGATTACATACTGTACTTGCTATCTGAACCCACATTGTGTTTTCTAAGTAAAAAAATATAACTTTACAAATAAGCAATTCTTTATTAATAATAAACCATTTTTGAAATATTCATCAATCTTTGTGTCCCCTCAATTAGGAAGTTTGTTCATATATCTGCCTATCTAATTGCACTTCATGATGTTTCTAATCTTTTTCTAAAAACGTTTTAAGTCGTTCCTGGCTTTGTTTATCGACCCTGAGATTTGGAATCAGCTGAAAAATAGGCTCATTGCATATATGTGAATTCTTAACAAACAGAGCATTCCCCTGGTAGAGAATACTTCATTACAGAATCTAGTCAGTACATTTGTGTGTGAGAAAGACAAGGTTGGATGTGAACTCACTACACAGCCCAAGCTATTCTTGAATTCATGATAATCCTCCTTCCTTAGCCTCTTAACTGCTGGGATTAAAGGCATGCACCACTATACCTAGCTGTATTCTCTTTTTAAAAAAAATGATTAAGTTTATTGGTACATTTTAGGTGTACATAATGATCATCATGGGAAATTTGCACCTGTAATGGTACAAATCTTGTACCGTTAATGGTACAAATCTTGATTGTTCTTTTTTTTTTTTCCCTATTCCCTTCCTCACCCTTTAATTCCTCTTCCTCTTCTTTTGTACATAAGTTGTTTCTATTTTTCCTTCTTGTGTCCCCTCCCCCAGTGCACCCCATTCTCCTTCCCATTTGAATATTTTCTCCCTATTTCACAATAGTTATTGTTACAGTTTGTGTCTAGTTGACCCCCGAAAGCCTAATGCAGTCATGGGGCAGACTTCTAGAGTTTGTGATTAACTCATGATCCACTGGGATTATGGGTGTGAGTGCTGCTGGGATTATATGTGTGAGTACTACACCCAGCCTGGGGCAGATAGCCTGGATGCAACTTAAGGGAAACAGACTTGCTCTCTGTGGCCATTGTTGTTGCTACTTCTCCGTTTTGCTCTGGCTCTTTGCTGCCCCATGAAAGATTGCTCTCTGCCATGTGCCTCTCTGCCTTGGAGCCAGCTGAGTATGGACTGAAACATTCATTAACTGTAAGTTAAATAAATCTTTCAAAAAAAAATAAAAAATAAATAAATAAATCTTTCCTTCCTTCAGTTTGGGTGTTGGGTATTTGACCCAGCAAGAGAAGACAACCAAGACAGCTATTATACATTCAGGTTCTTATTTACATTTTCAGTTTCTCACATGGAGCAAAACAATGTGATATTTACATGTGCGTCTAATTTATTTCACTTCAGAGTGTCATCTCAAGCTGAATTCATTTAACTAGAAATGTCCGAGTTTATGCTTCTTTATGGCTGGGTAGTACTCTATTGTATAAAGCCCCACATCTTTATGCATTCGTCAGCTGGTGAGCATTTGGGCTGTCGTCAAGACTGAACTATTACAAACTGTGCTGGGTGCACATATATCACTGAGGCATGACACTTTTAATTCCTCCTGGGAGATTTCAAGAAGGAAAAAATAGGTGGGTCAAATGGCATCTTCAGTCCTACTTTTGTGAGGAATCTTCATATTGATTTCCACAGTGGCTGTACCGGTATGAACTCCCACCAACAGTGGAGGAGGGTTTTTTTTTCCCTACAACCCCTCCCGCATTTATTATTGGTTAATTTCTTGAAAATAGCCGTTCTTTCTAAAGTGAAATTATTTTTTAATAAGACAGGTATATTAATTCTGCTTCGTGTACATATATATATAATAAATATTTTTGCCAATTTATCATTTGAAAAAATGATAGTGATGCCTTTCAAAAATAAAACATAGTTTATATGCATTCTGTAAAGATTTACTACAGTATGCACACATTCAGTTCGTCTACACAGAGGAAAGTAACAAAATTACTTACACAAATTGTTTTACAAACATGGCAGTGAGTTCCAAAGCTCTAGTTGGTAAACAATAATCTCTACTTCCATTTGTCAAGGGCTTTTTAAAAATTTGATTCTGGAATTTATCTTGGCTTATGCAATGGGATCAGAATTTAATTCACTATTTTATTCATTACTCCAGTACTACTGACTGAGAAATTTATCTATTCTTCTTGTGATGTATAACAGCAAGTTTGGCATATACATACAAGTATTTCATAATAATATCTATTTCTAAATTTCTTATTCCCTTTAACATTTCTCCTGGTTATATTCTTATGATTATTTTTTCAATATTTTTACTTTGCTACTATGATTAAACTGATTTGATTATTATACCTTTAAAGCATATTGGCATGTTTAATCCTGGTAGTACCTATCCCCTCTTTCCTCTTTTCAAAATTTGTTACTTTTTTAATTGGAATTTTATTGAATTTAAGAAGTAATTTATTTAAAAGTCATATATTAAGTGTTATCTTAGGGTTGGCCGAATAGCTCAGTGTTTTAAGCCAGGGGTTCAATCCCTGGGCCTGCCATGCTGGCCCCACCTCCTGGGCACACTGAGACATTGAGACTGGGTGTGGTGGTGCATGCCTATAATCCCAGCTCTTGGGAGGCTGTGAACAGGCAGATCCCTACAAGTCTCATCTAGTAGTGAGATCCTGAACACCCTGTAGACCTTTCCCCCCCAAAAAAATTGTTACCTTTTTATCCAGTAATGTGGTTTTTCACTTATATCTTTTTATCTCAGTATATATGTTTTTATTTCTTAAAAAAAATTGGTCATACAAATTTCGTATCTTATACTGTCAATAATATACTATTTGTTAATATTTTCTACAAATTATGTATTTATACTACATTCAAGCACTTTACTGAACTTTCTCAATAAGCCTTGTTATCTTAACTCCCCCACAAAATTGAATACTTTTCCTGTTAAAATTGATATATTTCTTTTTCAAATGATATATTTCCTTTTCAAGTACTTACAACTTATTTATATTTTAGCTCTAATTTTGTCAACTCTAAATTCAAGAACACTGTTAAATAATACAAAATATAAGATATCCTCACTTGTGACAGAAATGTATACAATATATTAAAGTACACTTTAGGTTTACTTTGTATAAAATAAATAATTCATCATATGTGTGAAATTGAAGTACTGATATAACCATGACTGCCCCCCAAAAAATAGAGTATTTCTATCTCCCCAGTACTTTTCCTGTGCCTCTCACTGTCACTCTAATAATGCCTACCTAGAGTGACTCCTGAGCTTAGATCTACTCCAAGAAATGAGGTCATGAATGTCATATAAGTAGTTATATGGGCCAGCCAGATAGCTCAGCAGAGGGCACATGACACTGGGCATGGTGGCGCATACCTGTAATCCCAGCACTTGAGAGGCTGAAAACAGGAGCCTCACTATGAGTCCAATCTGTGTAGTGAGACCCTGTAGAACCTGTGCTACATAAATAAATAAAAAGAAAAAAGAAAGAAAAAAGAAGTAGAGTTATATACTATAGACTTTCTGTGCCTAGCTTTTTTAGTTAAGCATAACATTTTTTTGCATTCATTCATGTTGTTCCATAAAACAGTAATTTATTCATTATCTCAATGCAAAGAATTTCAGTATAGGAGCATAGCACAATTTTTATCTATGTACCTGCCTATATACACTTGAGTTGTTTCCATTTGGGGGCCGCCATTAATAAAACTTCAGTGAACCCTCTTCTTAGGTTAATACCAAGCAGTCATTTTCCTGAGTCTTATAATGTTTATACATAGAAATTCCAAAATGATGTCCAAAACAACTGCATAATTTCAGTTGCTCCAGTCTTGCCAAAATTCAACACCATCATGTTTTATTTCTTTAATCATATTGCATGCAGGTACATACTGGTTCTTGACTGTGGCTTTAATTTGGATCTCCCTTATGAATAATCGTTTTATTTTATTATTTTTTATAAGAAGAATATATTTATTGAGGGAAAGAAAGCTCCTGTCCAAGAGAAAGACAGGAGGGGTGCCCGAGCGAGGTGTTTCCACTGAATAATCATTTAAACAAATGATTTCACAATCTTGCCCATGATTAATATATCTTCTTACTGCAGTCAGGGTCTTAAGATGGCTCTCAGGACCGTTGCTCCTGGTTATATTCCCGCAATAACATTATTCTCAGGCAAAGGGGATACTGCAGATGTAAACAGAGTTATTGGTTAA